TGAACTTTCATTCAAACAAATTATATATATTTATGCTACATTATAGTTATTTAAAATAATAGTGTTTTTCATAAAGCATATGTGTGCTTATTTTTATTTATTTATTTTGAGACAGTGGTGAGTTTGTCTGAGGTCTTCAAGAAAAGAATCTTCAAGAGATTCTTCTTCGACACCCCACATATGGCCTTTGTTGGTGAAGTTTCTAAACACTGCAGAAAATTCCTGCCCAATAGATACGCTCAGACTGACAGATAAACACAGAAAGAGTAAAGAACACCCTACAGAGGGCACTCAGGTACGAGAAAAAATTGAAGGCCAGGCCTGGTGGCTCACTCCGCCTGTAATCCTAGCCCTCTGGGAGGCCGAGGTGGGAGGATCACTTGAGCTCAGGAGTTTGAGACCACCCCGAGTAGGAGGAGCGAGACTCCATCTCTACCGAAAAACAGAAAAATTAGCCGGGCATGGTGGTGCATGCCTATAGTCCCAGTTGCTCAGCAGGCTGAGGAAGAAGGATCACTTGAGCCTAGGAGCTTGAGGTTGCTGTCAACTATGATGCCACTGCACTCTAGTCCAGGCGACCGTGAGACGCTGTGGGGAGGAAGGGAGGGAGGAAGAATCGAATGATTTTTACCTCCATAATATCTTTGATAAAAGGCGTCCATCGAGAGAGCTGAAAAGTTTCCTCTGTGGACCGATCCTTTCGTGTTGGTTTGCCTTGTTGAGACTAATATAATCAGAGGAAAAAAATTAAAAACCAGTGATTTTATTCAGTAATATAATACTTGGTTTCCTAACAAAGATATTTAATTTACCAGCAAGTACTACTATATGGTATTTGACTAAAACTAAGAGTGGAAATAACTACTTAAAAAAATCTGAATAGGTGTAGTCACATCACTGAACAGTATTTTGTGCTTTAATGTTAAAATTTATAATTGCATCAGAAATAGTTTATTCAAATAAGAGTATTATAAAACTTGATGGCAAAGAGTGAGATTCTAAATAGAGTTCTTTCAAATTTGACTTTGAGCCTAAATCTTTTTAAGCAAGAGAACATATAATTATTTTCTGTACCATATTATAGTTAAAGGCTAAATGTTTAACTAAAATATGACAATTGCTATAAATGAACCATAAAGAGAAAAGCATAAGTAGTAAATTACAACAGAAGCCTTAAAATACAAATTCACCAGAAAAGTATATTTGCCCAAATTACTCACATGTGGAAAAGTCAAGAAAATGAAATTTTTAATTGCTTATTTAATCAAAAGCTACAGAGTGAAGTTAAAAAGACTGTCCACATGGATTCCCACATGAGAAAACATAGTTAATGCAAACAACCACACGTGCATATATATAAGTATTTACACAATATAAGATTTCTTACTTGGGGAACAATGGGAACACCAAGGTAACTCCAGTTACGAATCATGTCACTTTCATTTTCTATCTTTACATTCTGGATCAACCTGTCCAAATTTTCTTCTGTAGTTCCTTA